ATGGAATTCGAAATGGGAAAGGGTGAAAAGAAAAACATTAATTGGGCCTAAATTATTAGGGGGGGTAGATATGATTGATATTCAAAGTTTTATTATAGCACAGAAAATCAAGTGGGTTGCTTTTTTATTGGATGAATCTAAAACTACTAAATGGAAGATTATCGAACTTGATTATTTAAAGGATTTTGATTTTGTATCTTTGTTAAAAGGTAATCTATTCTGGAATTCCTATTTTATAAAAAACATTCCCTTTCTTACCATAAAAGATATGCTTATATACTGGTATAGCTATAAAAATATTGTTACGGATGTCCATACACTCAATCAGCCACTATGGTACAATAGAAAACTGCAATATTGTAGAAAGCCTTTGTATGTTTCCAATTGGAAAGAACATGGTATCTCTGAACTGAAAGATTTAGTTTCAAATGCTACATATTATACTTATTTTGAACTTCTTGTTAAATATGACATGCAGTATAATGTTGAAGAATATAAATGGTATTATAAAATTATAGGTAGCATTCCTGAAGAATGGAATGATACTGTTGAAACACATGTAACTTTGACTGATCATGATTTTGATTTTATGGCATTTCTCACAACAACAACTGAAAACTTTTTGTGTAAAAATGCTTATAACAGCATAATAATGAAAAAGTTTGTTCCCCCTAGTATGTACAAATCATTTTGGCAAGAGTCCTTCAATATTCCTAATGTGAAGTGGGATAGCTACTTCAAAAATTCGTTTTCATCAACCATTGAAACCAAATTAAGATCTTTCCAAATTAAATTTTTTTATAAATCTATAGTTCTCAACTATACATTACACAGCTTTGGACTAGTGGATACAAATATGTGTGAATTCTGTAAACAACATATTGAAACCTTATTACATTTGTTTTATTATTGTCCCATAACAAGTCAATTTTGGTCTGAGGTAGACCAATGGATAGTTTTCAAAACTGAGAATTTGAATTTTAGTCTTAGTATAAAAGAATGTTTCATAGGGTTTGATGATATTCCTAATTTGCAATTTGTTAACTGTGTATTATTGGCTGCCCGTTTCTATATATATAGATGCCGAATTCAGAAGCACAAACCGATTTTTGATGTGTTTTTCAAATTTCTATGTAATATCCGTGATAGTGAAAAATATTCAGCATTTAAAAATGGCAAACTTCACATACATAGAAAAAAATGGAATTTATTTAAAGATTGCAGTAATGTTATTATTGTAAACAGATAATTGTTATTATATTATTCTAACTATTGTATTAGGATATAATTTATATATATGTATTGGGTCGTCTGGGATGTGTATATGTATATATTGTATTAAGTTATAATTTATGTATATGTATAGGGTCATCTGGGATGACATTGTTATTGAACACGTAGTGGACATATCTATCGTTTTGCATTTTATGCAGGCAATCCTCTTCTTTTTGTTTTTCGTTTTTAAAAAGATAAAACTTCTCTCCAGAAGGCTATTACTTTTTTTCGATATGACGTCATCAAAATTACGTGGCCCCACGTGTCCATATATTTGAGCATAGCCCTCCTGTTTAATTATAGATAAAATGAAAATTTATTTATTAATATTGTTTAATGCAATAATTTATCAAAATCTAAATGATTTGCCATGATATTGTTATGTATTACTGTGATGTATTATTTATTGATTGATACTGTTTATTGCAATTATATTGCAATATTGTTTTATTTTATGAAATGCAATAAAAAAAAAAAAAAAAAAAAAAAAAAAAAAAAATATTACGTCAATGCCAATTGGCAGCTCGTGCAAACGCGGTTGTTTCTCACTCACCACCATTTTGCATTTTTTTTAATTGCCGCACCTCGATGGCTTGTCCACGGAATCTTACCAAACAAGAATTCACGAATTTAGAATAACTCGTGATGATAGAAAATTTAAAAGGGAGTTTACGAGTGTTAACTTGCATATCCACGCAATATGCCATAGTTCCAAGTGTTCGCATGTTTTTTTAACAGGATATCGATACAAAATACATATCATATAAAGCTAATTCCAAAATATCAGTTGCAGATAACGAGCGATGTTCCATTATCCCTGCACCCACGTTCATTTGCACCCAGGACATTTTGCACCCACATACAGATTACATCAATGAAGCGACATTCGCACTCATGTTCATTTGCACCCGCGGGCATTTGCACGCAAATATTTCTACCCATTAACATTTGTACGCACGCAAATTTGCACCCATGGTCATTTTCACCCACGAACATTTATGTTTCAGGTAAAAAATCTTATTTTAATTTTAGTTCATCTGGGTTTGTTTTGGCGGCCCTTTTCACCAGTCTGTACAGCAGGGATCACCAACCTTTTCGAAGCCGAGGGCTACTTCCTGGGTACAGATTAAGCCGAGGGCTACCAGTTCAATGTACAATTCTAAAAAAGTCAATTATTAATAACAGGAGAGCTACGCCCAAATATATGGACACGTCTGTTCGCAGTACAGTACGGTTTACAGTACCGTCAGATCACAGTCTACAAATATATTCACACCAAGCGAAGCAGTACAGTAGTACACAAAATGGCGTCGGATGTCCGCAGAACGTTTAGGATTTAGGATTTACATATTTATCCCGGGGGAGAGGAAAGCCGATAAAACGGCTTATCCATATGGCGAACCACGGCCTCTCGTTCGGTTACCATTTCAAGTCGGGGGATTAGTTATATTGTTTGTTTTCGAAAGCATGGACTTGGTGGTAGAGGAAGCCGTAACCGACAAGCGGTTACGTGAACCACCCAACGACGGCGAGGAGTCCAGCAATCCTCTCGCACATAACCATCCCTGCATAAGATTCGAACCTGCGAACCCACGCAGAGTAATTAGAGGTGCGGTGGCGAGCGTATTCCTAACGCTTGGCCCGTTGAGCCACACCGCCGCGTTTAATGACGTCATAGCAAACAAAAACAAATCTCACAGAGCTAACAGAAATATTTAAAATGAATAAAAGTAATAGCCTTCTGGGGAAAAATTTTATCTTCAACCACTGAAAATTTCAAAGCAATTGGTCCAGTATTCGAAGAGAAAAGCGGTTTTTTGATATTTCCACTAGGTGTGTTATTCTGTGTCAAACAACAAGAACAATATAATATTGAAACGATCGTTATGTCCACTACGTGTCCAATATTTACTGGTATTTAATTAAGTAGAGACACTGATAAACTCTAGGATTCTTCAGAAAATCAAACGATTACACAACGTTGAAATAAATTTCTATCATGACACTTGCGTTGCATTTCAAAACTGAGGATTTTCAAATTGATCACTATTAGTATTCACTACTATAATATCCTAGGTAACCAAAATGTACCTGGGTTATTTACAAACACTCTGCACAAGCCTAGGATAAAATGGACTAGGAAATGGAGTGTTGTATTGCGAGACTTGCAGATCATCAGAAAGGCGTGTTCCGTGTTTGTTCCTGGTGAATTAAATTGTTGATTCACAAAGATAGGTTGAACGGTTGAACTAAACAATAGTCTCAATATTTACCCAATATTTGTCACCGTCAAAATTTTACCTGCCATTGGTTTTCAATTTGCTGCAGCGGTAACGGCAGCTCTCCATTGGTATGTGGCAGGCTGGCAGCTAAAAAGTCTGTCACCGTGGATTTTGGCTTGGTTATGGTTCGGGAATACCGCTGTGGTTTTGCGCCAGTTATAGACGCCCCAGATTCTTAAAACTGAACTTGGAAAAACGCGGATTAGTGGAAGGTGATATCTGTGTGAAGTCATGATTGGAAGACTATTAAATGACCCGTCACATTGCTGTGGTCAAATCAGGTTGATTGTTACAATAATTAATATAGTGCCATTCCCAGTTCCCATATATGTGTGATTAGTACAAGAATAGCAGGACAAAATGTGATTGCTGTTGCTTACTGATGAGCGCCGTTTTATAGAGGACTTGCACAGGTGACGTGACCTTGTTTACTTGGACGGCAATAAAACAAAAACGTTCATTTGGCTCCTGTCAGTTGCAAGTCGGATTATACGTTTCCGTTTTGTTTGGCTGTTGAAAATGGTTATTTCGTATTGTTCCGCTGGCTGGCTGTGGAGGCAGATACATTTTTTACTCTAAATTATGGAATGTTACTTCCAGGTTATCTTATCCTTGCTTTTAGTATATATACATGGGTCAGTATATATTTGCAGCGCAGAGGAATTGAATTTACTCGCACGTACTAGATTAAACTAAAATCTCGTTTCGTGGGTGCACACCATTCGAAACCGGCCCGCGGGCCGCAGATTGCATACCCCTGCTTTAGACCTAATCATGATGGCATCGTAAGTTAAAATATCGGTTTCAAAGCCCATGCACGCCGCCATTTTACCCATGCTGTAATAATATTGGTAGACAATGTCGATCATTTCAAACAGTTGTAGCTGCTTCCTGATACGTCGTACAGAAAAGTTCCGTGGGTGCAAATGTTCCGGTCCACGAATATCCACGGATGCAAACGTTCGCAAGTGCAATCTACATGGGGTGCTAAATATGTAGGTTTAAAAGTGCTTCCACCACAATTGAGATATACTTCTTATAGGTAATATAGGTATTCAAAGTTTTTGTAATTTTTACACAAACCGTATAAATTCGGAAGAAGGGTAATATATACTGATATCGTCATTTGGCACCCTCGTGATGCCATTCTCGAATCAAATTTCACGAAATGGCCTAAATCTCGCCCCATAATACTCAATATATTCTGACTGACGAGGTCGCCTTGTCTGCGCGGAAATTAAATCACAGCATGTAAGACTTGATTCACCCCTTCGATTTTGGGTTGCAGCGATTGTTTCATACCTGTCACTAGTCACGGATCAAACTGTTTCTCTATTCACAACTAATGTGATGAAAAAGACAATCCAAAACAGCTTAGGGTTGATCCAAGGCTTGAGATAAGCATGAACACTGAACATACTTAAAAGAAGGGTGGAGTAAACGTTTATCACATTATATAAAAGTGTATTTCAACTAGAGTTGCAAAATCGACACAAACACAATTAACAGAAAACTCATCTATAAAGTTCAATTGACCAGGTTGTATGATCAGGTAATAATATTATCACTACGAACTACTACTTCAACTATAAAAATAGAGAATATTATACTATTCACAATCATACAGAATCACTTATTATAGAACTGCTTTCATTGAAGAATTTGGTATATATATCTTGGGACTGCGAAAACACATAGTAATAACTTTTTACTTTTTTATTTTCTTGGTTCTCTGATCTATGTGCTGCATAAATTAATAGAGGATTACATTTGAGATTTGATACCAACAGCATCTTCCCAAGTGTGCAGAAATCATAACACAATGAGATTGCATATTGTATAAAAAAATTATGCAACAGTGGTTGGACGCCACATAGGAGTTATCATCAAGACTTCTGTTCAATCAAGTATAGTATAAATATGAAATAAAGTGAGACACTACACTAGTGTAAAGTAAACTAATAATGATAATAGTAAAATCAATACAGATGACCATGAAAATCGATTCCAACAATAATCAAATCATACTAATAAGTTTCTCTTAGCATAATTTTATAAAAAATATAATGGGTCGGATGTTTAGACTGAGCAATGAGCATAATAGATTTTGTTTGACTTACATGATCATTCCACTATCATAATTGTGATTACCAATGGCTCTTGTACTTGAATTTAGCTTTGACAAGATATCTTGCTCTGATTTGAGCAACATCATAAACAATGTACTCATTGTACATCAGGTATCTATTGGTATTATCAGAAACAGCTTTAGGTTTTCCTAGTGGTGCGAGAGTTCCACAATCCATAGTGTGATAGCCTTGTGGATCCGGTTCTTCGCGTCCCAATCCTTTAGTACTATGCTTTCCTTTCGGTAATTTGTTTGCATCGTAGTCTGCATGTGTTTTGTCATTTGTGTTGCCAAGAGCGACTTCGCATAGAAGTAGAAAACCAGATGGTTGCCGGTGGTTTGCATGGCAGTAATTTGCAGATTTAGAAATCATGTCTGCAAAATAGACTCCTTTGCCAAACATATATCCTGTTGAAGGGGCTTCAGGTGGAGCAATTCTCAGACCTTGTTTTAATATTCCACACCAATTAGTCAAACGAGATCCATGCCACAGTAGCATTCTATTCCCGATGTCTTTCTTGAATCTCTGCTCCTCACCCTCTCTCTCAACCTTGTATACATTTTCTAGATCAAGAGCATACTGATTATGAGTAGAACCATGTGAATTACTGACATACGTCTTTACCATTTTATATTCATCATGGGTTTTATCCAAGGGTTCAAGCTTACAATCAAGAGATTGATAATGAAGATCTTTAATGTTAACATCATCAGTTTTATCATCATCTTCATCCATCATTTGTATTGCAATTTGGATGTCACTAAGAGCTTCTAGTAGTTGAATCTTCAATTTCAACTGAGCAGGAGTTCTGATCAAAGGTGGAACTTTCATGCCAAAGTCGTGAGGAATTCTTGTGTAAAATTCACTGCATGCATCAGCTAACTCACGGCCATATTTATTTTCTTGATGGCATTTTTCTATTTTTTTCAAGGTCTCATATCCTGCTTTTATCTGCTTGCTTGTTAATTTTCCTAGTGGTGCTTTTTTGACATCAAATTCTAATTCTTTTACACAAGCTTCGAATTCTTTTACATCAAAAATAAGATCAATGACTTCTTGAAGACGCTTGTCCAATTTTGATTCAACTTCTTCTCGTTTCTTTTTCTTCTCATCATCAACTTTCTTTTTGTCATCTTTCGTGTCCTCCCCATAATCCATTTCAAGTAAATCATATTTTCCTAGTATTTTTATGAAAGAGGGTGAACTCCATATATTCCCTGTTTTGTCACGAAATTTTTTCTTAAATGTATTCTTGGCTGCATAAAGATCACCTCCATGTCGTTTAATTGCTGTGCCAGCAATTTTTCCTACTCTACCCCATCTAAACCATGTCACATATTGCGGTTGAGTATCTTGCTTCAGTATTTGTAAAATATAGTATTTATTGTTGTTGAAACCAATATTTGTTTGGTTCAACATTGCATTGTATATACAATTTTGTTTTTGATCAATATAAACATGATATCCAGAGGAACATTCTGCACAATGTTCATCTACTGGAACAGACCCAGAAAATGTAAGCTTTTTTATATCTGCTTTTTCCTCTGAAGAAGATGCTTTCGAATCTGGTTCTTGTTTGACTTTTGTATTTTCCTTTTTGAACTTAACATCAGGTTTAACAGTTGCAGTATTTTTAGTCTTTTTTCCCTTACCAGCAGATTGTTTTGCATCGTCATTCGCATCATCCTTCTTGGAATTATCATCCTTTTTACCTCTTTTTGGTCTAGATGAAGCTACAGCTTGTTTTGCTTGCCTTTTTCTAGGTGGCATTTTTAGGGTGCAATTTATTTTGTTGTTTGATCTACATATACAGCTATAATACGATATCAGGATATAAATTCAATATTCAGTTTTAACAGATTTTCCATTCAATTCTTTATCATTCAACACATTATTATGACCCTTATTAATTATAAGGTTATATCAATTCATAAAATATTGCATATTTTACATTGGGAGTGCCAACTTTGAACTTGTTTGAAATTGTTTCACTGCTTATATATGCTTTTCCAAAGTAATACAGTCATTAATTGATATATACTTTGACCCGTTACCTATGGAGTATCAGCGAAAACAGTGCAATTGCAGAATTGGCCTAATCAAAGCCATCTATGGTATAAAGAAGACATAAAATTACAGAGTATAAAAGACAGATAGGGGTTTAACATCTCATAGAAAATAGTCATAAGAGAATTAGGCTATTTTATTGCAGGATTACTGTTTACAGGTTTAAATTTAATTTTAAATAAACTAATACAGTATCATATTATATTAAATTTTTGCAAAGGCAAAACCCTAACAGTATGATTTACAACACATAGTCTACTGGTGGTACTGGATAATGGCAACTAAAAAGCATCTCAGGTTTGTAGTGCAGCATTATCTCAGTACCTTGTGATAATGAAAAACTGACCTCACTCTTGACCGTTTGAATGCCTTATCCCTAAATTGTCATTCTTTTACACCCTGCAGTTGCTTTTTTCAGCATGCTGGCATGCTAAAAAAAAATAAACTTCGGATTCTAAATGAAGGGATCTTAAGGCAATTGAGCTAAAACTTCACCAACAATGAACATGTAAATCATAAATGGACCGGGATAGATAGACTATGTAAATCCTCCTCCTATTCCCAGTATTCCTACCTTCTGCGGACAAATAGGTGCTATTTGGATAATTCAATAGGTAGGAAAGTTACTCCTATGTCTGTATATGTACCGGCTCTTACTAGACTACCGATACGGTATCTGCAAACAAAGCGACATACCTCAATCCCCGTAGCAACAATGATTTGGAAAGCGTTTAACGCACGGTACGGTTGAAATATTAGAATATTTATTGGGACGCGGTAGGCTCTTACTACTTAATGAATAGAGCGCAGAAGAGAGGGAAAGAGCGCAAAACAGCGCAGAAGAGATGGAAACATTTTTCTTTCATTATTTATTAGCGTCCGTGAAATTTTAAACAATTTGATGGGATACAGTGGTAGGGAATGATCACGAGTTTATATCAGTAATCTTCAACATCTCATCCAAGATGACGCACAATCTGAACACAGTATGTGTACTAGGTTGGTTAGGGTGCGTCATGTTTGGTTATTTAAAGATGTTGAAGATTACTGATAGAATTTGAAAATGGCTACGGACGTTTACCCGACCCTTCACCTGATGCCCTGAGAATCCACCTTTTGTTTCACTGTTGCGATAATTTGGGAGTATGTAGTTATGATGTTAATGACAAAGTCTTCGGATAAACATGATCGGGCCGAGTCATGTTGGTTGGGAAAAATATGCCTCATGTTGATCTTGTTATTTCTTCCCTAAAAAGAGCCAATACATTTATACACAATACCCAACTATGGCACGAATCTTATAAAGAAGTTCATCCCTCAAAACCATGTAAGAATGTTCGTTCATTCGTTTCGTAATAGTGATAAATAAATAACTGGACAATTATTATTATTTAATACGGAATGCATGCACAAAACCTACTGGCCTAAAACACAAATGTGTGGCGTTATAGGGCTTGTTCGGCAATGACTTGTATACGTCACTGTGCAAGCGGAGAATATCATCAGTAGTAGGCAATGACTAACATACCGGTAGTAGGTTACGGCACGCCTTCCACGACGAAAAAACCTGGTCATACAGATATATTTTGTTTAAAAAATAGGTCGATAAGATTATGGACCTGTTGCTGGCTTATTAGATTTATGGATAGGAGTGTTTCCGGGAAGACGGAATATCGCCAGAAGGCCATATGTTGTTAAAAGATTCAAAGGAAATTTTAGAGCATGAGGAGGAATGTGATTGGGCATTGGATATCCTATCGTCCTGGCCAGTAAAAGGTGGTTTCATGGGTTTCAAGGTTGTTTTTAACTCCGCCATAGTAAAAAGAGAGTCGAGAACTTAATCTTGTCTGGGAGATGGTTTGGCTATTTCCTTGGTCAAATTGACTTCTTGCTATCGAGATTTAAAGTTTGTGTCATAGTTTTCCGAACTTGAAACAGCTGCAAGCGTTGTGGCAAAAACATTGAAAATATCATATTCGGTTACAAATTTCTGATGATCTAATTGCGAGCATTGTATTCCAGAATTAAATCCTAGTCTACAAAATGCCTTCACCATAGACCATACTTGATCCAGCTTAGTGTTATTATCAACGAAGTCACAGTATTCTCTTCGAGAATCGCGTTTGGCTTTTAATATAGTTGTCCTAATATAAGATATACAACTTTTAAACTAATTTATATCTTGTATACTGATTGTTCTTCTCATCTTCAAGTAAGCTGAACGTACTGCCTTTTCGTGCAAGACTTATTCCACACAGGGACGCTATTTTTGGTATGAGGTTGGAACACAGAGTGGACTTGGCTAATTAAACTCGAACATGTGCATGTAATTTTTTCCAATCTGCTTATTCATATTCCCATTTGGGTATGTGAACATTCGATTTGTGAGTGAATTCATTAATCCCTATACGAACCATGCAAAGTTCACTTTATAAAAAGACGTCTACAGCCGATGTTTTGCACTTTGTCAAAAAATGAAATCGTCCCGTGTGAAATCAGCATTTGGCGTAATATAAATATTGGTGAATTTGATTTTGGTAACTTAGTATAAGTTTATTTCGACTCCATAATCAGCATAACAATAAAATGATTGGTAAAAAAAATAAATAAAAACTGATTATGAAATCGGGAGAGCAAACAAAACCTTAGATAAGGTTTAAAACGTAGAGAATGTATACAAGATGGAAGGTTTTGCCAAGCAGAAGTGGTACGTGTTCACTCACCTAAAATAATGGAAATATTTCACACACGCACCCACACACACAACCATACAGAAGTTATAAGTTACATACGGGTAGTTGAAAAAAAAAAAAAAAATTACTTGCCACACCATATTAATAAATTTATAACGTTTGCCTTATAACTTTCATGAAAAATATATTGCCAAGCTGATTATAGTTGGAGTCAATTGCCAAAAATGCCCAACCAAAGTTGCCAGAATTGGGTGCATGAAGAGGTGGGCTAGATCAGTGATTTTCAACCGGTGTTCCGCGGAACACTGGTGTTCCGCGAGAGACCTCCAGGTGTTCCGCGAAATATTGCTTTTTCGAAGTATTATGACGTCATTCGAATAATATAAATAGAGTCGATTTGAAAACGGCGAGTCAGAGTTTTGGGAAGTCGGTATAAAAAACTTGTAACCAGATAAGAAATGACAGGCCATATTCCCTTTTAATAGATTTTTATCTCGGCGTGTATTTTTAGTGATCCATTCCATTCTTGACCAAATAATGTTTCGAAAATGTGAACATTATACTCGACCATGAATGATGTCATCATCGGAGTTGATTACATTCGTTGCATTTTGAAGCTTTTCTTGCAGTAATAATTAGGGCGTGGCATCATCAAAATCGTCAAGTGAAGTGTTGAATTTGCAAATTCCGTAAATAACATTGTGAATTTGTAGGTAACAATTTTAGCTATGATAATGGTCGCGGTATTGTTTTGTTGGAAAAGAAGTTATACCAAAATATGAAACTTCGATCTCCGCCGATCGGCAAGAATTAATACTTGCGCAAAAGAACAAAGGCGGTAATATGAAAACGTTCAGGGGGCAAAAAAGTAGCGATTATGACGAAATTAAACAGTAAAAATCGCTTTGCTGCCAATTTTCAATGTTTTTATTAATTTCCAAATTCCTGTTGTGTATAACAAAAAAAACAGGAGAAATTGAGAGCCGTTGAGAAAGAGCTGCGTGTTTGTCTCTCCTCGATTACAGAACAAATATTTGAAACTAATCGAAACAGACCCAAATATCACACTAAAATACCATTTCTGTTTCTAGCTACCGTAATCATAGTATTCATAAGCAAACTTGCAAAAACATATATTTGTACCTTACCGTCGCTCTTGTAGCTCTGAATCGGAATGTGTCACGTCTTTTCCTAAAGTTGACAAGCAATATTATTGATTTCGGTATTTTATTTTCATGCCAAAATTATCGACGTCAGTTAATTGCATAATATAGTTTATTTCCAAAAATTTCGTTTGGTGTTCCGCCACAATTTCAGATTAAAAAAAGTGTTCCGCGGTACAAAAAAGGTTGAAAATCACTGGGCTAGACCACTTCATTCCCCAAACTAGAGCCTATTTTTGCCAAATTATAGTCCAGATTGTATAAGTATTTAATTAAAGGTACAAGTAACAGTATAAGTAATTATAATTAATTAAGGTAGGACAACGGGGAATAGGAATATGTTGATTACTAAGGTTATAAGTAAAGTTTTTTTCGATCTTAGATATTGACTTCTGCAAGGACAAAGGAATTAGGATTGTTATTTCACATGATCATTTCTTCATTTACTTAATGTAACGCAATTGTTGTCAATTCAAATTTATCATAAATGAGACATCAGACTGCCAATTTTGATGTAGACACCCTTTATATTCAATAAGCTAGCCGTTGACTTGGTCATCACCAACGACCTGAAAAACAGAAAATAAATCTGCGAGTAGAACATCCAAGGGTTACATATTAGGAAATAACACTCACTAGTCACTACCCTACACTTTTGTTGAGAATAAATTATTATTTCGAGTAAATATTGATCATTAGTTATTTATCTTTAAAACGCAAGTTGAAAGACCTGAGTTGAATTCTGGTTGGGACACAGGGGAAATAATCTTCGCAAACCATGCAAGAACTCTCAAACCACTCTAACCATTTGTAAGTTGGCCTTCACGTTAACTTCACAGCAGAACCTTAACCTAGGATAAAATTTTGTATACACACAAGACAAATCATGGAATACCACAGCAAATTAAAATGAAGGGGAGAATCCAATATATCTCGACTGGTCGCCTAATTACAGTAATAGGTACAGGGGTTAAAGTATACCTTCTACAACCCTCACAAAGAAACACACCACTCAAATAGAAATAAAAGATCATGCATGTGGAATATCAGAAACCCAACAAAAAACATGCACATGCAGATATCAGAATATGAGCAGCCATATGCGGGAGAATCTTATGCTATGCATGTTATAGAACAAAATAAAGAGTTGGCTAGAATGCGAAACAAAACAGATGTAGAGAGCTTAGCTGCTTGTTCAAAAATAATAAGCAATTCCAGAGACAATAACAATATTATGGCTTCTATAGATTGTTGTGTTATCAACTCAATTTCGCGAATGGCGAAGGATTTTGGATACATATTTTTACTCCGCCACTACAAACGCCCCTTCTTTCGTAATAATGTGTAACCGTACAGTGTTGGCGTATAAGATGGGTTTCTTGAAGTATAATCGTAAATATATACTAGTATAATTATTCTGTTATTCATTTTTTGTATATATCGTTCAAATTCGTATAATTTTCGGCAGATGCCTCTGCAGTTCCATTGTAATAAAAAGCTAATTGTTTTAATATTAGTCATCATCTTTGATGAGTTAGGGCGAAAGCAACGACTAACATACGCGAAAGTGATTGCTGCAGAGTGAAGACCATTGAACTGAAATTTCATTTACGGGTCACCGGTTATCGTTATGGGATCGAGGATAAGGGTGTTTCTTGACCTCTCCTTACCAAAATACCACTGATTGACTGCAAGGCAATGGGTTTTATTTTTCGTGAAATCCAAAACAACGGGCTGCATGAAAATATTTAAGTAGGCAAGAGCGAGTAAGATTTAATACTTGAATAATATATAATGTGTC